GCGAACTTCTTCCCGTCTCGCTTGAATAATATTGAGAACTACGTTCTCTGTCGTTCTGAAAAGAACGGTTTAGTATTTGTCTTGTGTGACTCGAAAAAGAAACAGAGAATAAAATATTATTCAGCGAGCTTCTTCCTGTCTCGCTTAAATAATATCTTTTATCGTTCTGAAAAGAACGGTTTAACGTTCGTCGTTCGAACAAAAAATATTCAGTAGAATATTATTCAACAAGCGGAAGCTTGACCGGACCTTGAAGACTGCATCTGGTGAAGGTCGCGGCAAGCATCTGGCAGGCAGCACAGGACCAATCGTTGCGGTCGATCGGTATCTTGAGACGTCCTCTTCGAGCAACGCGCGGCGATCGACTGTGCCACGCCGAGGCGCTACTATACGAAGTAAACTTTCCAGCATGACATCGCGTGACACATGCGCAGCGAGCATGAAAGAGACAACATTATATTTGAAAGAGACAACGCTATATTCGAAAGAGAACACTATATTTGATAGAGACAACACTATATTGGAAAGAGACAACACTATATTATAGATAGAGTCAATGCTACATTGAGATATTATCAAATATTGTACGTATAGCCTGACCAGGAACATAAAAACCCTCGCCATGTTGCGGAAAACTAATGGTACTAATTTCTTTTAATGGCAACAGTAACTGAAAACTTCATTGACATGTCACCTTGCATGTCAGTCTATTGCTGTCAAAGTGTAAACAAACTTTATTTTAAATGTGCGCAATTGGTTTTATGAATTAAATTGCTAAAATATTTTTATAGTCGTGAAAGAAAAGTGGTTCATAATGTGTTAAAGTATTTGTCGAAGAGAAATACTAAGGGTTCGGACAATATTTTCATTGAATAATGTTTCCAACAAAGGTTGTCAAATTGACTGACATGTTTATCGTATAGTACAGTCCACTATGAAAATTAGCTGTGGTTTGTTTCAACTACCTATTTTAAAAATTTTGTCACTTTCTAAGTGTTGAATTTTATGGGATTGGGAAAGAAGTACCGAGTTTGAAGCGTTCATGAGCAGACATTGCAGTTGAATATTCAAGTTCTGAATTTGATTATTGATGAATAATAAAATAAATCTACTAGCTCGATTGATGGTTTCATTTAATTTATTTAAATCAGGTTACCTATAATAATATTTTTTCGTTAATTTATGAAAATATCAAATTAGCCCGTAATCCTGAATCCTGATACATAAAGTTAGCCTATTAATTTAACACAGGTACGACTGTACTCAGTGTTGCACTATCAAATGCAATTGAAGCGCCTCTATGCCAGGGTTTTTATGTTCCTGGTCAGGCTATACGTTAATTTGAAAGCATGTCCATCCTATTTACACTATTACGACTGACTTCATTAATTTATGATGCTATTGATATATTGATTTTTAAGCTTCAAACCATTTTTATTTATTTAGCTTAATATGAATTAATATGAACATGATGAATATGAATTTACGGAAAATAATTCATTCTTTACGTTACGTAAACAGTCCTTGTCGATTTGTATCTGTATACGCTGACGTCTTGTGTAGTCCGACTGACAAATGTTTTTCGTCTCGCTTCCAAACATTTAACAAGAGGTACCTAATACATTCAATATAAAATATGAACTTGAAGTTGTTATTGTGTATATCTACCGAAAAAGAAACAGATAATAGAATATTATTCAGCGGGCTTTTTCCCGTCTCGCTTGAATAATATTGAGAACTTCGTTCTCTATCGTTCTGAAAAGAACGGTTTAGTATTCGTCTTGTGTGACTCGAAATAGAAACAGAGAATATAATATTATTCTGCGAGATTCTTCCCGTTTCGCTTGAACAAGAAATATTCAGTAGAATATTATTCAGCAAGCGGCAGCTTGACCGGACCTTGAAGACTGGTAAATGTAGGCAGGCCTCCCACTCGGTGGCCCGACCATCTGGCGAAGGTCGTGGCAAGCAGCACAGGACCGATCGTTGCAGTTGAGCGGTATTTTGAGATGTCTTCTTCGTGCAACACGCGGCAATCGACTGTGCGACGCCGAGGCGCTGCTATACGATGTAAACTTTCCAGCATGACATCGCGTGACACATGCGCAGCGTGCATGAAAGAGACAACAATATTTGATAGAGACAACACTGTATTATAGATAGAGACAATGCTATATAGAGATATTATCAAATATTGTACGTACGTTAATTTGAAAGTATGTCCATCCTATTTACACTATTACGACTGACTTGATTATAGCTATTGATATATTGATTTTTAAGCTTAAAACCAATTTTATTTCTTTAGCTTAATATGAATTAATATGAACATGATGTATATGAATTTACAGAAAATAATTCATTCTTTACGTTACGTAAACAGTCCTTGTCGATTTGTATCTGTATACGCTGACGTCTTGTGTAGTCTGACAAATGTTTCTCGTCTCGCTTCCAAACATTTAACAAGAGTACTAATGTACTAGGTACCTAATGCATTCAATATAAAATATGAACTTGAATGTGTTGTTATTGTGTATATCTACCGAAAAAGAAACAGAAAATAGAATATTATTCAGCGAGCTTTTTCCCGTCTCGCTTGTATAATATTGATAACAGGTACCTAATGCATTCAATATAAAATATGAACTTGAATGTGTTGTTATTGTGTATATCTACCGAAAAAGAAACAGTAAATAGAATATTATTCGGCGAGCTTTTTCCCGTCTTGCTTGAATAATATTGAGAACTTCTTTCTCTATCGTTCTGAAAAGAACGGTTTAGTATTTGTCTTGTGTGACTCGAAATAGAAACAGAGAATAGAACATTATTCAGCGAGCTTCTCCCCGTCTCGCTTGAATAATATTGAGAACTCCGTTCTCTATCGTTCTGAAAAGAACGGTTTAGTATTCGTCTTGTGTGACTCGAATTAGAAACAGAGAATAGAATATTATTCAGCGAGCTTCTTCCCGTCTCGCTTAAATAATCTGGGGGCACGGCAGTGCCCCCGCCAAGTCGAGCGCGAAGCAAACACTGCCGTACCATCCTTTACTGGAACCATTTCGCCGCATTTTCAGGCCCCTATTTGAGAACATCTGGATAAGACCAGAACGCAGAAATTTTCGTCATCTAGTAAGCTATAATCACATACTTAAAATCCAAAATTTCAAGTCTGTAGGTCATTTAGTTCCAAAGTTATGCGAAAGCAAAGTTTCGCATTTACGACACTCACTCACTCACTGATGATCATCAAAATAGAACTAGTACTTCCCATCAACTCAGAGAGCTGAAATTTGGTACAGAGTTAGGGTTTAATGGCCATATAAAGGGAAAACTATAAAAACTAGGAAAATCGAAGATCTGGAGTAACACCACATTCATAATCAATACTACTCCGGCACCGTGGTGTTCGCCTGTATCGCTCACCGCTAGATGGCGCTAGCGGCGTCAAAGCGGTGTCCAGATTTTTTCCTTTCTAGAGCCCCCCGTCGATTAAGTTGATGTTGTGTAAATTTGCAGTTCGTTGATTTCGTTTATTATATTGTAAGGTTCGCTAAGGTTATGTTATTAAAACAATTCTGATTCGTTGTCCATTTTAAAGGTCGTTGAGTTTATTTGTGTTTAATATCGTAAAAAAATATCGATAAAACGACGACGTTAAATAATTTTGCCACTTTCTACAAAAAGAAGTGAAATCCCACTAAAAACATTCTGTAAAAAACTAGCCAAGTCTCGATGGAGCTGCTTGTTTATCTCTAAAAAGTAATGAAATCTAGACAAAGTCGTGCCAAGTCTATGGTTCCTTACTGCGATTTCTTTATTATTATAGTTAATGTTGTGTGACTTGGCCGTTGAACAATCTTTATTAAGATAATCATACATAAGTATTATTGAAATACGCAGCTTTATTAAACCTACAATTGAATGGTTATTGTTGAATCAATGTTTTCCAAGTGGCAATTTTCCATCGTCAATGGGTAGCGGTTCTGGCGACAGATTGGTGCAATGGTATCATGGAGCACCTGGTTTTGTACCCTTCAACGGCCAAGTCAAACAACATTAACTATAATAATAAAGAAATCGCAGTAAGGAACCATAGACTTGGCACGACTTTGTCTAGATTTCATTACTTTTTAGAGATAAACAAGCAGCTCCATCGAGACTTGGCTAGTTTTTTACAGAATGTTTTTAATGGGATATCCTTTATCGTTCTGAAAAGAACGGTTTAACGTTCGTCGTTCGAACAAGAAATATTCAGTAGAATATTATTCAGCAAGCGGCAGCTTGACTGGAAAACGTAGGCAGGCCTCTCTCACTCGGCGGACCGACGATCTGAAGGTGCGGGAAGCATCTGGCTGGCAGCGCAGGACCGCTTGAACCGTGCGCGTCTTCTTCGTGCAACGCGCGGCGATCAACTGTGCGTATGCGGCCGCTAGGGCACGTAAAGCGTGCGCATCGTGTATGAAAGAGACAACGCTATGCGTGTGACGTCTCTTTCTTACATAATGCGATTACGCATCAAATAGCACGTGGTAATTTTGAAAGTATTTCCGTCTTTTTTACACGCATGCATGACTCTAAAGATGACGTAATTGTAGTGCTAAAATTCCTCAATAGGATTTAAGACACTATTAAATCAAAAAGTAATAGTTAAAATAAAAAATGACAATGTAAAGGAATGGGAATCGTATTAGGTTGGTAAAGTTATAGTATATCGGTAAATTACTATATTGAACCCTGATGAACCGTCTTATGCGTATGTGTATTTTAAAATCAACATAGTTATCAAAGTTTCTGACCAGAGATTTTTTATGTACTGAAATTCAAACAATCAAAATCACCAATCTATGCGTGTATAGAATCGAATTTTAAGCTTCGTTCTGTAATCTGACCTTAGTATTCATATTACAGAACGAATAAAATAATCTAATAACTTTCCAATTTGAATCCTTAGTTAGTAGTATTCAATTAAGATTCTAATTGTCACTCTTTCTTCCTTACAGAGTGTTTAGTGAGTTGGATCGAGACGAGTACGTGCCTAAATCACTCACAATGCAAATAAAAAACACCGATTATGTGCCTTCAAAACGCAACGAAGTTCGGACTGCCAGCAGACGGGACGACACACTTGTTATTGAGACCATGTAAGTATATATTCATGTTCATTTATTTATTGCATCACATCATGTATGTACAGTAAGAGTAGGCGCACACCGTTGATTTTTCGTCGGCCGATAGTTTAGTCGGGCAGTTGATCAGTATGGGCATGTATGGGAGTGCGCACACTACGCCGATTCGATTTGGCCGATTCTTCATACAATTTGAAATCGGGCACAACTATCGGCCAACTAAAAATCAACGGTGTGCGCCTTCTCTAAGGGCCCTGCAAGTTCAATAATCGATTCTGTACATCATCAGCGTTATTGCGGGACTATTCCTTCCAACCTCTCGTTCCCACCGCTGCAACTTCTGTGTAGCCAGGATCTGCTTGACCGCCAATAAAAATCCAACCAGTGAACGTCAAGTTTGTCCTGCGATACAGGGTGTTACTTTGCATCCTTGCCATATTCACAGATATAAAAGTAGGAAACAATACCCATTACTTTAGATAAATAAGAGACTCCCGTAAAGAAAGCACACTAAGTTTTTAGTAAATTTTATTTCTGCAGTACAAACTGGAATAAACCAATTTTGTCTAAACTTAAAACGCTACAAAAATTAAAAGAAAACACCAACAAAAGATATCCGTAACCGACACAATCCTTTTTTACCCCATTGTCATTGTTATTCTCTTATCTTTCTTACTAAGTAGGGTGTATTGTTTTTCTTTAATAAATACCCCGTGTTTCATTGAGCTTTACAAAAAATATTGCGATAAGCATGTTATTTTTTGTTTGTTAACATGAGCTTATCGCAGTCATTTTTATTCTGAGAATTCCCTTTCTTACCTTAAAAATTAACACGTGCCAAATTTGTACTTAATTATTTGCAGAAATATCCACAATCCAACTGTAGACAAAGACAAAAATACTCAATTTATTGTGACCATGGACGGATTCAATCCCAATGCGTTCCTTGCGAAAAAACTCATGACTGAAGGTCTACTCAACGATGATGATGTAGACACTGAAAAGGCTAAAGACACTAGCAATAAAGAAAAAGATTCTCCAAAAGATGCCGATAAAGCTGAACCCCAAGAACCAGCAATAAGAGAAAAATCTCCAGAACCTTCTCCGCCTAAAAGTAAAGAAGTGAAAACGATAGAAAAAGACACTCCAGAAATAAGCAACGAGGAACCAAAAGAATCGCCGAAAAAACGTCTCAGTAGCGAAAGTACTGAAAGCAATACTCAGGTTGTGATTAAACAAGATAAATTGAAAGAGTCAAAGTCTAAAGAAGAAAATAGTAAGATATCAAAGGCAGCTGAAAAGAGAAAAAGTGATACAGTAACACAACCACCGAAAGTAGAGGAAAAATCTCCTCCAGTGAAGAAGCGAAGGACTCCTATAGTATTCGATGTGGATAAGAAACAAACGGAGGTAGTAAAGGAGAGGGTGAGGACGGAGAGCGCGAGTAGCGACAACAACGTGATACTCACCACGGCTAGTAGCTCACACAAATACGATGCGTTGCCGCCGTGTAAGTAATTTCTTCTTTTGTGCAATGTATTCCCAAGATTTTATTATTCCGTAAATTTTCTTTTCTTTCTTACTAACGATATAAAATTTCATCCCCTATGAAATTAGTTTTTGGGACCTAATCTTAAATGCATCATATTTGATTAAGGGGTAAACCCACCGATTTTTGTTGGCCCATAGTTGAGTCGGGCTGTTAACATATGAAAGGAGAAGGAGAGAAAGACATGTGCGCACATTATTACACCGATTTGATATTGGCCGATTCATCATACAAATTAGAATCGGGCCCAACTATCGGCCGATTAAAAGTCGGTGGTCTGTGCCTAAGCTAAGCTAAGTCTTATGTGCTTCATTAATTAGAATCGGGTCCAACTATCGGCCAACTAGTCTGTGGTCTGTCCAAATATATTATGATTATTAAATAAAGATGAAACTAACCACGACCACGGGCTGGAAGACGTAGCGTGGGCAGGCCTCCTACTAGGTGGACCGACGATCTCGTAAAGGTCGCGGGAAGAGCCTGGATGCGGGCAGCGCAGGACCGTGCATTGTGGAAAGCCTTGGAGGAGGCCTTTGTCCAGCAGTGGACGTCATTTGGCTGAAACGAACGAACGAACGAAACTAAATGGAAACTGTTTTACAGTGTCTACATCAGAACGCAAGCCGGTATGGTGTCGCGCGTTCCCGCTATGCCGCTACGGAAGCGCGTGCGCGTTTCAACATCCGCGCTGCAAGTTCGCGGCCGCGTGCACGCGTCGCGGATGCGTCTACGCGCACGCAAACCCGCCTGTACCGACGCCTACGCCCACCATATGTATGTAATGTTTATTGAACCAGTAGGCCTAAGAAGCGTGCCACGATAAGCGTTTATCACGCCATTTTATCGATTTTCTAAATATATAAAAGGAGAAACTGACTGACTGACTGACATATCAACGCACAGCCTAAACGGCTAAACGTAGGCACTTGAAATTTGGACAGGACGTAGCTTAGGTACCGTAGAGGTGCACTAAGAAAGGAATTCCCGAAATTCCCACGAGAACGGGCCCCTAAGAGGGCAAAACGGGATCCACGCGTACGAAGTCGCGGGTGGCCGATAGTACGGGATAAGCTCATACATTTGTCATCTAAAATGATCGATAAGATTTCATCCTAGCCCGCCTGGACTGTAACTCAGTTCAACAACCCCGCCTGTAGCCGCGCCTACGCCCACCATATGTATGTAATATTTATTGAACCTGGACTGTAAGGCCCAGAACAGACGGTGAAACGCAACTGCAACGAAACTGCAACTTTCTGATGATTCTGATGAATGAAACTGAAACTGAAAGTTTCAAACTGGTCGCGTCATGTGTGGTCTCTCAACGGATGCTATGGCAGAAACTTAGATGCAACTCAAAAGTAACTAGCAGTTGCAGTTTCGTTGCAGCTGCGTATCACTAAGCGTTTATCACGCCATTTTATCGATTTTACGGGATAAGCTCATACATTTGTCGACTAAAATTATCGATAAGATTTCATCCTAGCCCGCCTGGACTGTAACTCAGTTCAACAACCCCGCCTGTAGCGGCGCCTACGCCCACCATATGTATGTAATGTTTTATTGAACCAGTAGGCCTAGGAAGCGTGCCACGATAAGCGTTTATCACGCCATTTTATCGATTTTACGGGATAAGGTCATACATTTGTCGACTAAAATTATCGATAAGATTTTGAAGAGGGAGACGGAAATGGATAGTTAACAGTGGGGCCGTGTGTACGACACCGACACCATTGGGCTTTTTGAAAGCATTTATCGCTCTTTGCGCGATAAAAAACGCTTGATTTATTTTCAAAAGAATATTTAATATATTTTTTCGTATATGAATGTCAATTGAAAAAATATTACCATAATAATTATGATTTCGTCCCCTTAATGACTTATTTACTACCCTTACAAAATTTCATCCCCTCAATGGCTTACTTTTGCAATAAAAATAATTTAATGTTTTACATAAAAGATTAGTAAATAGGCTAGCTATACCAAAATTAATTTAATTTAACATTATTTGTGCGTAAACATAAACCACAGACCAAGATACTTTTGCTTCTTATAGTACCTATTTGTTTACCGACCGTCCATGTTTCATTTCACTCGTAATTTCATTAATTTGTTACTTTTATTTGATTGCTCATTAGCTAATTTATTCACCGAGTAGTTAATTAACGTAAGCCTTTAATGCATTAATTACTTGTGAGTCATCTTTATCTCATTTACTTATGAGTCACTTAACTCAAAAATATGTTTTCATAAAATACTAATGGACGGATTGAATCACTCTTACGCATGTGCTTTATCTTCTTATTTTTTGGAATCGTTAATTTTATGAATCTATACTAATAGTATAAAGCTGAAGAGTTTGTTTGTTTGTTTACTTGAACGCGCTAATCTCAGGAACTACTGGTCCGATTTGAAAAATTCTTTCAGTGTTAGAAAGCTCATTTATCGAGGAAGGCTATAGCAGGCCTGGCTCACTCCGCGCGGTACATCCGATAATTACCTACAGCGAAGCGCCCCGCCGGCGGGTATTATATCAGTCGAGTGTCACGCGCGCGCTCGTCAGGACGCTGGCGTGCGTTGTAGTATGATTATAATTCTATGATCGAAGTATTATTTAAAAATGGACATAAAGAGAAAGAAATATTGTGCGGCGTTCGGGTGTTTAAATTCGAAAAGTAATCTACCGGATTTATCTTTTTTTTTCGCTTCCCAAAGATGCTGAAAGGTATGTTGGCCATGTAGGTAATCAATAATTCTTAGGATAGTATAGGAACCTAACCTACTATGACTACTGCTCAGAATGCGTTCGTTCGTTCGTTTCAGCCAAATGACGTCCACTGCTGGACAAAGGCCTCTCCCAAGGTTTTCCATAATGAATGCATACTTACCTACATACGTACCTCATTACAAATAAGTAGATTAATTATTTTTTCACTAGACAGCAACCCTAACAGCGTAAGAAGAGTTCAGAGGCACGCGATAGAAAGAGACAAAACTTGTAGGTGAATAAAATTGTAGGTACGTAGTGCTGTGCGAGCTGAATTCCACTGTATCGCGTCGCAGCAAGACTCGCATTTATTTAAATCGACTTGCGGAGTAATCCTTCTGTACCTGTACTATTACTTATTCTGTGGCTATAGGCTATTACCATCACGATACGAGTAATAGGAGCAGAGCAACAATGAAAAATGATGCAAAAACGGGTTTTCACGCGAACGAAGTCGCGGGCACAGCTAGTTATCTATAAAATACAAACCACCTGTGTTCTGATTTTGAATTAACAAACTGATGACACGATGATTTCTCCCACAGCGTCTCACGTGGTGCCAGTAGCGAACTACAAGTCGATCAGCACCGCGCCCACTCCTGGCATGTGCAAGTATTACCCCTCGTGCAGCAATCCCACGTGTGGGTTCTTCCATCCCAAGGCCTGCCGTTACGGCGCAGCGTGCCTCAATAAGCTGGAATGCAACTTCTACCATGCCGACTTGCCGCCGTCTCACTGGCGGCACCCGGCGTAGATTATACAATATTTATTTAGATTAGATTTTAGCGTATTATATTACTTAGTGTAAGGATTTTTTAGAATATAAAAATGAATTTTATTCACTTGTTTTATTTTAAGGGCTGACAGATCAAATACATTTCCAACAAGATTCTTAGCACATGATGTGATTTTAATGTTTAATGTGAGTTTAGTGCTAGGAAAGGCATGTTACATTTGATTATCAGCTGACAATAAGTACTATAGGTACTTACTGCATTGTCGTAACATCCCAAAACGTGACTTTTTCCTTTGATTGAAACTGTCCGATGTATCTAAATATTTAAAATAAAATGTTAATGTAACGTATACGTTACATAGTAATGTGAAACCAAATGGGTTATAATTTTTAGTAAGTTACTAGGTACTCAAAATACTTTATTAATCATATATTCAAATTATAAAGGAAATCGTTATGATTGAAAATGGTCATGACGATTATGAAGAAAAGCGTTGACATTTCTTACTGATCTGAATCTAATACAAACACGCATCAATATTCATCCCAAAGAAAGAATACTTGCTCAGTTTTCACATTTGCACTTTTTCAACCGACTTCAAAAAAAGGAGGAGGTTCTCAATTCGACCCGTATGTTTTTTTTTTTTTTTTTTTTTCTTTGTTTGTTACGCGATAACTGCGCCAATTATGAACCGATTTTCAAAATTCTTTTTTTGTTCGATAGGGTACACTTCTGAGGTGGTCCCATTGTCACCAAGTCAGGATCTGATGATGGGATCCTAGGGAAATCGAGAGCAACCCTCAAATTTTATAGGCACGTATATCGTTTTTCAAACTTTTTCTTAAGTCATTCATATATTTGCTCCTGGAAATCATCATCTCATATTGATGAGCTGATGATAGAAGGTAAAACTCCTTAATGCTTAGGAGTTGGAGGATAATTCTTTAAATATTATAAGTACAAATAGACCAACAGTTGTATTCTTTCATGTTTTTAAGGTGGGCTGACGGTTTAAGGTCTTGTCTACAGTATACACAGCGGCCGGCAAGCCGGTGTATTGCAGTACGTTCCCACGGTGTCGCTTCCGCGCCGTGTGTGCGTACCAGCACCCACGGTGCAAATACGGGGCCGCGTGCATACGACCCCGTTGTATGTACGAACACGGGACCCCGGCGGCACAATCGGCCCCGCCGGCTCAAGCGCCTTCGTCCATGGACATGGACGAGGCCTCGCCGCAACCGTCCCCGCCGTTATCCCCACCGGCGACACCTAAGCCCACCCTATGTAAGTAATGCCGTAACATTTGACATCGTCCATTTTATTCTATTAACTCTAGTATGTTTCCTTTATGGTCGCCTCTTTTTTAACAAAATAGTAATTTGTTCCTAATAGAAATTTTCATCCCCGTAATGTCTTATTTTTAAATAACATTTTTCTTTCTAAATTCTTCCTAGTGATCTCTATTTATGTTTACAAAATAAACTAACGTATCGTTGTTTTCCGCAGCGTACAAGGCGATCGCCGCGCCCACTCCTGGCATGTGCAAGTATTACCCCTCGTGCAGAAATCCCACGTGTGGGTTCTTCCATCCCAAGGCCTGCCGCTACGGCGCAGCGTGCCTCAATAAGCTGGAATGCAACTTCTACCATGCCGACTTGCCGCCTTCTCACTGGCGGCACCCGGCGTAGATTATATAATATGTATTTAGATTAGATTTTAGCATATTATATTACTTAATGTAAGGATTTTTTAGAATATAAAAATGAATTTTATTCACTTGTTTTATTTTAAGGGCTGACTTATCAAATACATTTCCTACAAGATTCTAACACATACAAGATTCTTAGCACATGATGTGATTTTAATGTTTAATGTGAGTTTAGTTCTAGGAAAGGCATGTTACATTTGATTATCAGCTGACAATAAGTACTATAGGTACTTACTGCATTGTTGTAACATCTTAAAACTACTTATTAATCATATATTCAAATTATAAAGGAAATCGTTATGATTGAAAATGGTCATGACGATTATGAAGAAAAGCGTTGACATTTCTTACTGATCTGAATCTAATACAAACACGCATCAATATTCATCCCAAAGAAAGAATACTTGTTCAGTTTTCACATTTGCACTTTTTCTTTAACTATCTCTATCTCTCAACTCTATAGTTATCTCTTTCGTAGCGTTCACTACTCTAACAATTATCCCTGTCTCTGTTCCACTCTCTTTGTCATTAACTATCTCTTAGCTCTATCTTTCTCTTTCTTAGCGTTTCCTACTCTAAGCACTCTTTCGGTCTCTGTCGCACTTACATTAACGCACTCGTCACTAATCCAGGTACCCCTATTAGCGCATAAATACACGGGATGGGGTTAAATTTATTCAGTTCATATTGTTTCGTGAGACTCAGTAGTGATATTTAATAAGCGCAAACGAAGAAGACAGCTGCGATGCATAAATCCGTATACAAATGTAAGTTTATATTGCAATATTTTTATTTTGTTTTATTTATAGAATTCATTTGCTAGAAAAAATATTAACTTGAGAAGTGAATAGTTTATTTGCTAGTCTTATAATATTTTGGTCGGCCGTTTGGTGTAGTGGTTCGAAACGGACTACTATTCCGGAGGTAGCGGGTTCGATTCCCGCACAGTACAAACATTTGTGTGCATCAACATATTTGTTTGTATCGGACTGGGTGTTTTCTATGTATAATAAGTATGTATTTACAAAAAAAAAAGTATTTAAGTATGTTTATATCCGTTGTCTAGTACCCATAGTACAAGCTTTGCTTAGTTTGGGACTAGAAGCCCAGTGTAAAGTGTCCAAGGATATTTTATTTTATATTTTTAAGTGATTTACATTCGTGGTTCGACTCCCGGATTAACTTTTTGTTCTTAAATAAAGGTATTTCTATTTTTCTCATAAATATCGTACTTTCTATTATTAATTCTGTAAAATTATTGTTTTCAGATAGTTTCCAGTTACGCCACGGTGTGGCAAAGGCGAAACATTCTGGGAAAAAACCGAGTGTATTCCCGAAGGGTAAGCAAATTTTTTAATGCTATTTCCGTTCCTTCTTTACATTATATACCAACAATTTTTATAGCATTATTTTTAATATTTATTTAGTTTTTCCTTTGTTTTTTTCTTTAATACTTTTAGAACAGAAGTGTAAAATGTTTTCTTGTCTACAGTATACACAGCGGCCGGCAAGCCGGTGTATTGCAGTATGTTCCCACGGTGTCGCTTCCGCGCCGTGTGTGCGTACCAGCACCCACGGTGCAAATACGGGGCCGCGTGCATACGACCCCGTTGTATGTACGAACACGGGACCCCGGCGGCACAATCGGCCCCGCCGGCTCAAGCGCCTTCGTCCATGGACATGGACGAGGCCTCGCCGCAACCGTCCCCGCCGTTATCCCCACCGGCGACACCTAAGCCCACCCTATGTAAGTAATGCCGTAACATTTGACATCGTCCATTTTATTCTATTAACTCTAGTATGTTTCCTTTATGGTCGCCTCTTTTTTAACAAAATAGTAATTTGTTCCTAATAGAAATTTTCATCCCCGTAATGTCTTATTTTTAAATAACATTTTTCTTTCTAAATTCTTCCTAGTGATCTCTATTTATGTTTACAAAATAAACTAACGTATCGTTTTTTTCCGCAGCGTACAAGGCGATCGCCGCGCCCACTCCTGGCATGTGCAAGTATTACCCCTCGTGCAGCAATCCCACGTGTGGGTTCTTCCATCCCAAGGCCTGCCGCTACGGCGCAGCGTGCCTCAATAAGCTGGAATGCAACTTCTACCATGCCGACTTGCCGCCTTCTCACTGGCGGCACCCGGCGTAGATTATATAATATGTATTTAGATTAGATTTTAGCATATTATATTACTTAATGTAAGGATTTTTTAGAATATAAAAATGAATTTTATTCACTTGTTTTATTTTAAGGGCTGACTTATCAAATACATTTCCAACAAGATTCTTAGCACATGATGTGATTTTAATGTTTAATGTGAGTTTAGTGCTAGGAAAGGCATATTTTATTTGATTATCAGCTGACAATAAGTATTATAGGTACTTACTGCATTGTCGTAACATCCCAATACGTAACTTTTTCCCTTTAAAATTTAATTTGTCACATATCGTGATAATTTATTGTTAAATGTTATTGCGGGTTATAAACAATAATACTGTAAAGTTTCATCAAAATCCGTTCAGTAGCTTTTACGTGAAAGAGTAACAAACATCCAGACATCCACACAAACTCGCATGTATAATATTAGTAGGATTAAACAGCTGAAAAGTGTTTTTACTTGATCGCGATAATCTCGAGTCCGATTTGAAAAATCTCAGTCATAAAAATATAGAATTAATATTCGATCAAAAGCCTCAATATTTCAACTTTTATATTGTCTGAATTTAGTTTTTAGCTTCGTTCTGTGGAAAATGACCTTAGTCTTGACTTACTTGACTTATGGTCCTATGTCCCCTAGATGGGGCAGAGGGCGTCCACAACAGACCTCCATCGCGTTCAGGCTATCTCATTCTAAATTGAGTATCGATAATTTGTGTACCCATCATCTTATTTATATTTATGTAGTGTGAAATAGATATTTGTTCTTCTCCTTCTGTCTCGCTCTGACCGTTTATTATAATGTTTGTAGGTCGTCGTCGCCATCAGTCCCCTGCCCAGTGTGTTCAGGCTCGACTTACATAAGTAGCGAATGTTTATTTATTGCACATAGCTAGTTGGTTAGTAAGGACAGTACCTACATTTTAAACCAATATTTTTTGCAGAGTTTTTACATTATTAACAGTTTGTCTTTCATTATCTCTTAGCTCTATAGCTAGCATCTTTCTATCAGCTATCTCTTTCCCAGCATTCACTACCCCCAGCTCTATCGCGCTCTCTGTCGCACGCGCTGCGCGTGCCAAGATTGGCTCGTGCGCTTCGGTGAATTCGTCACTCGTTCAGGTTCCTAATGAGCTGATAAAGACGGGTTCGGGTAAAGCTTATTCATTTCACGTTGATTTATCAGAGTGAAGCTCCTAAACAAAACCTTAGAAACGCCATCATGTCAGCATCCCAGGATAATTCTATAGAATTATCGAAGGAACGTATTTGTGGCGATGGGGAGAAAGCCGATGGTGCTGCCCGTGTTGTGCCGTACCGTCCGTGCCTGTTCGGCGCTGAATGCCCGCGTCACGGCTTCCCCTACGCACAGGCGGCCCCCAACGCGATGCCTCAGCCTCTGAGACTGACGCGAGACCCGCGGCTTCTCCGCAGATTCAACGCCTGAGCTCCATCCATACGTAAGTGTACACATTTTTGTCTTCGTTTAATCCTTCGTTAAGATCTAGTATCAAAGCTTTCGCTGCAATTATTAGTTTTGTTGTTCATCTGCATTTCTATTTTCAGTAACTAAATGCCTTTTCTTTTCTTCTACAGATTTTCGGATTATACCAGCGCCAACTGCGAGTGCGACAGCCGCCAGTCCCCTGCCGTGTGATACGACTTAAGTAGCGTTTATTTATACATAAATAATGTACATAGCTTAGTTAGTTAGTAAGAAATTCATAAGAATATAAAATTTAATTGTAACCTTTAATTGTTTTATTCTTAAATTAATTATCGTCTCAAAATTCTGATCCACATAAATTAATCAATGACAATACTTACCTTACTCCCTGAATATGTGTTCAATTATTTGCTCAGAGTTTTTCACCACAATAACACTTTCACTATCTCAATCTTTTAGCTCTCTCTCTCTAATCTCTTTCCAAGCATTAGAGATCAAAATCTCTGACCCGCAGCGCATGTATTCTCTTCTGCCATACTCTCCGTTCATCTGCAGAAGCAGATGACATTTCTGGTGTGTCAAGGTACCTATGATACAAATTGTCACTGTCTAGGTGTGTTTCTGGATCTCGCCAAGGCCTTCGACACCGTATCAATTCCTATACTTCTATCCAGGCAAATTGGAAAATCACGGAATCAAGGGAGAGACCTATAAGGTGGTACAGGAGCTACCTTAGTGACCGTAAGCAAATTGTCTGGATAGATGGGATCACCAGCGACATGCATCCGGTTCCCATCGGGGTACCGCAGGGAAGCATATTGGGACCACAGCTGCTTAGTAGCACTACCTAATGCTTCTCGTGGTTGAAATGATATTTTTTTTTACATTTTTTAAACGCGCAAACTCACACTCAGCCCACTGATGGTGCAACTCAAGTTGCTACCGGCATCGCGTGTGTTCTGTTCTGCCATACTTTCCGTTCGGCATGGACTTTATTAACCATTTGTCAAGCTACCTTGACTTTATAGTTATAGAACCTATTGAGGAACTGGCACTGTCACTGTCAGGTAGGGCCTATACACGGAGGATGCTGTTCATCTGCAGAAGCAGATGACATTTCTGGTGTGTCAAGGTACCTATGATACAAATTGACACTGTCTAGGTGTGTTTCTGGACCTCGCCAAGGCCTTCGACAAAGTATCAATTCAATACCTATACCTACTTCTAGGCTAACTTGAAAATTACGGGATCAAGGGAGAGACCTATAAGGTGGTTCAGGAGCTACCTCATTGACCGTAAGCAAATTTTCCGGATAGATAGCGACATGCATCCGGTTCCCATTGGGGTACCGCAGGGAAGAATATTGGGACCACAGCTTTTAGTAGCAGTAATGCTTCCCGTGGTTGAAATGATGATGTGTTGTGTTTATTAAAATTAATAGGTACCTACTATTAACTCAAACACTATTATTTTCATACATGTATAAGATACAAATCCTAATCTTCCTACTCGTTTCTAGTGTCACGCAATCTTAGGCACGTGCACTTTAGCCATTGTCTTAAACTATATCTATCTCTTAGCTCTATTGCTATTTCATCCCGCGCATTCATTACCCTCCGCACTATCGCGCTCTCTGTCGCACGCGCTGCGCGTGTCCTGATTGGCTCGTGCGCTTTGTTACGTTCATCGCTAATCCAAATACCATAATGAGCCCTTAACGACGGGTTCGGGTAAAATTATTCAGTTCAAGTTCACGTTGAATTTCATTGCCAACATGTCAGCCACCCAAGTTTATTCCGAGGAGATTAGTGGCGATGGAGACATTACTCAAGCTACCGCCGTAGCTTCAGTAGCAGCTGTTCCGGCTCGTCCAGATGAAGGAAAGCTAATTGGCTTCAGCCAAAGATTGACGGAGGCGTTATTGCACCTGCGGTTGGACGAATTCCAAAAAGGTACTTATTTTACTCTATCCACTTTAATTTATTTTTTTCTATTACCTTAACCGACATTTTTTACTATTGTCTTTTTGCCCACAGAAAATGTGCCCCTACCGGGAAAGAAGGGGAATTGCAAAGAATTCCCTGAGTACCGCTTCGGCGACGTGTGCAATCTGGAGCATCGTCAGTGCAAGTACGGAGTGGAATGCCCGCTCCGTGGTTGCACTGAATCACACGTGGCTCCAGACGAGGCGACGCCCAACCGTACACCTCAGATGCGACGTCCGAGGCTCCTCCGCCGACACATTGATCGAGCCGCCGTCGCTGACGCGACTTCCGAGTTGACACGTCACCCACGCCATCTCCGACGACGCATAGCCCGTTCAATTTACGTGTAAGCATTACACTACTTCTCTCTTCTTATTTTGTTTGATTTAATCTAATTATTATTGAAATCCTATGGGCTCTGGCCTGAAATATTTTTTTTTACACACACTTAAGTGATTTTTACCAATAGGATGAGGATTTAGTTTTAACGTTCAAGCTCTCTCTGAAATAATACTTCTTCCTCTCATCTGTTTTGTTTAATTTAAGTAATATACTGTTTACTTAAACGTACGTTACGTATACTAAAACTGTTTTCTTCTCTTCCACAGAATCCCTCATCGCGCCAGGTGCTGATTTATGAAGCAATTAATTTATACTATGTACTATTACTAGTTTTTCTACTATTATTATTACTACTATGTAACTAGTTATCCTTAAGAATATAAAATTGAATCTGAAGCAATTCTTTTATTTATTAACTATAATGAACCACACACACATGTAGGTACATCGTACACCACACAGCTCAACATTTTTCTACTCAGATTAACCCAACTTCATCAATAACATAAATTCTAGTCACAAAGTTGAGAAGTGACTAAATTAATTTTACTAAAAATAGGATTGAAACTGCACATAATTATAATGTTTTATTTAAAACATAGTAACAGAAAGTAGATAGGTAGGTACTCCTCCTGACTCCACACGTATGTAAGTGTACAGACTTGCATACAGACACTATTAGTGTAGTTTGTCGGACTGACTGTACCACTAACGAAAAAAATGTGCAAATGCGGGTGGGTGAAGAAAATTAATCGCGCCGGAGCTGACGACGCCGCATCTCTTCAGTCTGCCCGCGACCATGACTCTTGCTACCGAGTTGAAACGTCGGGAAATATCTTATTTACCGTTATAAAAGTTTTGTTGTAAAATCCCGTGGAGTGATAATTTTAAAGTGTACACACACTTGTATTCGTGAGACTGACGCGAAACCCGCGTCTCCTCTGCAGATGCACGGCGTGAGCTTCATACATGAAGTATGTATTCATTTAATCCATCGTTAAGATCTAGTACCAAAGCCGAAGCTCTCACTGCAATTATTTAGTTTTGCCGTTCATCTGCATCATTATTTTCAGTAACGAACGCCCTTTTCTTTTCTTTCACAGATTTTCGCATCATACCGGCGCCAACTGCAGGCGCGACAGCCGTCAGTCCCCTGCCCAGTGGATTAAGTCACGACTTCATGTAGCTATTNCTCTGTCGCACGTGCTGCGCGTGCCCTGATTGGCTCGTGCGCTTCGGTGAATTCGTCATTTTCAGGTTCCTAATGAGCTGTTAAAGACGGGTTAATCTCTGACCCGCAGCGCATGTGTTCTCTTCTGCCATACTCTCCGTTCGGTATGGACTTTATAACCATTTGTCAAGCTACCTTGACTTTATAGTTATACAACCTGTTGAGGAACCGTCAATATAGTTTCAGGAAGGGCCGATACACGGAGGATGCTGTTCACCTGCAGAAGCAGATGACATTTCTTGTGTGTCAAGGTATGATACAAATTGTCATTGTCTGGCCGTGTTTCTGGACCTCGCCAAGGCCTTCGACACCGTATCAATTCCTATACTTCTATGATTTAGGAGGTTATATTATTATAGTGGTTCAGGAGCTACCTCATTGACCGTAAGCAAATTGTCCGGATAGATAGCGACATGCATCCGGTTCCCATTGGGGTACCGCAGGGAAGAATATTGGGACCACAGCTTTTAGTAGCAGTAATGCTTCCCGTGGTTGAAATAATGATGTGTTGTGTTTATTCAAATTAATAGGTACTTACTATTAACTCAAACACTATTATTTTCATACATGTATAGGATACAAATCCTAATCTTCCTACTCGTTTCTAGTGTCACGCAATCTTAGGCACGTGCACTTTAGCCATTGTCTTAAACTATATCTATCTCTTAGCTCTATTGCTATTTCATCCCCCGCATTCATTACCCTCCGCACTATCGCGCTCTCTGTCGGACGCGCTGCGCGTGTCCTGATTGGCTCGTGCGCTTTGTTACGTTCATCGCTAATCCAAATACCGTAATGAGCCCTTAACGACGGGTTCGGGTAAAATTATTCAGTTCAAGTTCACGTTGAATTTTATTGCCAACATGTCAGCCACCCAAATTTATTCCGAGGAGATTAGTGGCGATAGAGACATTACTCAAGCTACCGCCGTAGCTTCAGTAGCAGCTGTTCCGGCTCGGCCAGATGAAGGAAAGTTAATTGGCTTCAGCCAAAGATTGACGGAGGCGTTATTGCACCTGCGGTTGGACGAATTCCAAAAAGGTACTTATTTTACTCTATCCACTTTCATTTTTTTTTTCTATTACCTTAACCGAAATTTTTTACTATTGTCTTTTTGCCCACAGAAAATGTGCCCCTACCGGGAAAGAAGGGGAATTGCAAAGAATTCCCTGAGTACCGCTTCGGCGACGTGTGCAATCTGGAGCACCGTCAGTGCAAGTACGGAGCGGAATGCCCGCTCCGTGGTTGCACTGAATCACACGTGGCTCCAGATGAGGCGACGCCCAACCGTACACCTCAGATGCGACGTCCGAGGCTCCTCCGCCGACACATTGATCGAGCCGCCGTCGCTGACGCGACTTCCGAGTTGACACGTCACCCACGCCATCTCCGACGACGCATAGCCCGATCAATTTACGTGTAAGCAAGCTACTTAATTTTTTTCTGTTTGATTTATTAATTTCATGGGCTCTGACATGAAATAAATATATCTTTTTTTACACATACATAAGTTATTTGTACCAATAGGATGAAGATTTAGTTTTTTTCTCTCTCTCTGAAATAATACTTCTGCTTCTCATCTGTTTTGTTATTTTAAGTAATATACTAAAACTGATCTCTTTTCTTCCACAGAATCCCTCATCGCGCCAGGTGCTGATTTATGAAGCAATTAATTTATAATAAGTATAATTACTACTATGTAACTAGCTTTTTTTAATAATATAAAATTAAATCTGAAGCAACTCTTTTATTTATTAACTATAATAAACCACACACACACACACATGTAGGTACACTGTACACCACACAGCTCAAGATTTTTCTACTCAGATTAACCCAACTTCTAGTCACTTCTCAACTTTGACAAAGTTTAATTACTTAGTAAAATAGGATTCAAACTGCACATAATTAAAATGATTTATTTAAAACATAGTAACAGAAAGTTGATACTTGTACTCCTCCGCAGACGCAACTCCTGGGCTCCACACATGCATGTAAGTGTGCACACTTGCATACGACACTGTTAGTGTAGTTTGTCGGATTTGTGATAATTTTAAAGTGTGCTCTTGTATTCGTGAGACTGACGCAAGATCCGCGTCTTCTCCGCAGACTATTCAAATAAATAAAAATCATTTATTGTTTCCCACAACCAAAATTTAAAAGTTACAATTAAAATTAAAACTAGAGTAAATTAAATACAGGAAACAAAAGGCCATAAGGTTCAGCTCAAGTTGCCTCGAGAGCAAGTCCCGGGCTGCGCTGTTTTTCAACCTTGCCCAGCTCTCTGAAGGTGACAGTTGGAGCAATTCGAAATGGTGCCGCTTTAATAATGCTGTCTTATATTTCATCTTGAATGCTTGGTCAGACATTTTAATCCTAAGAGGTGGAGGTAAATCATTCCATATTTTGGCTGCATTGAACTTGAAATTCATTCATTAATTTAATCCTTCGTTAAGATCTAGTATCAAAGCCGAAGCTCTCATTGCAATTATTTAGTTTTGCCGTTCATCTGCATTATTATTTTCAGTAAGGAACGCCCTTTTCTTTTTTTCCACAGATTTTCGCATCATACCGGCGGCGCCAACTGCAAGCGCGACAGCCGTCAGTCCCCTGCCCAGTGGATTAAGTCACGACTTCATGTAGTTATTATTTATTTATTGTACATAGCTTAGTTAGTAAGGATAGTAATCAATTTATTGTTTCATTCATAAATAAATAAATTATTTCATCTAAAACTCTGATCTACATAAATAAATATAAATATAAATANAAACGCTCTTAAAAGAAAAATAATGGGTGTATTAATGTAGACTAGACACTTAGATACTCATGAGTAAGTACCTATTTACTTTATAAAAATCGACGTTTTGCATTTTGAAAGGAGAAATAAACCAAATGTCGAGGCCAAATTCTAGATTACATACATTTTAGTTGACTCGGATAAATGCATTTACATAGCATTGTCACATAGCTTTTATTTATTTTATTTTAGACTTTTAATGACAAAGATCGATAATTAGAAATCTTTGAATTTTTGCTAACCTTTACATTACAACATCCTGTACAAAATTGTTAGGATAAGAAGCATTTGGCCAGCAGAACAAAACTACTCAATGTAGATACCTACCATAAAGTAGTTTTAATTTTATTAATAACAACTATATCTGGACTAAATAAGGTAAACGGCTANGTTGATACTTGTACTCCTCCGCAGACGCAACTCCTGGGCTCCACACATGCATGTAAGTGTGCACACTTGCATACGACACTGTTAGTGTAGTTTGTCGGATTTGTGATAATTTTAAAGTGTGCTCTTGTATTCGTGAGACTGACGCAAGATCCGCGTCTTCTCCGCAGACTATTCAAATAAATAAAAATCATTTATTGTTTCCCACAACCAAAATTTAAAAGTTACAATTAAAATTAAAACTAGAGTAAATTAAATACAGGAAACAAAAGGCCATAAGGTTCAGCTCAAGTTGCCTCGAGAGCAAGTCCCGGGCTGCGCTGTTTTTCAACCTTGCCCAGCTCTCTGAAGGTGACAGTTGGAGCAATTCGAAATGGTGCCGCTTTAATAATGCTGTCTTATATTTCATCTTGAATGCTTGGTCAGACATTTTAATCCTAAGAGGTGGAGGTAAATCATTCCATATTTTGGCTGCATTGAACTTGAAATTCATTCATTAATTTAATCCTTCGTTAAGATCTAGTATCAAAGCCGAAGCTCTCATTGCAATTATTTAGTTTTGCCGTTCATCTGCATTATTATTTTCAGTAAGGAACGCCCTTTTCTTTTTTTCCACAGATTTTCGCATCATACCGGCGGCGCCAACTGCAAGCGCGACAGCCGTCAGTCCCCTGCCCAGTGGATTAAGTCACGACTTCATGTAGTTATTATTTATTTATTGTACATAGCTTAGTTAGTAAGGATAGTAATCAATTTATTGTTTCATTCATAAATAAATAAATTATTTCATCTAAAACTCTGATCTACATAAATAAATATAAATATAAATATACTTGGATTTATTTTGCGTCAAAGTACTGATTTTAAAAATGCTAACACGTTAATTTTACTTTATAACTCTTACGTTCGCTCTCAGTTAGAGTATGCATCGCCTGTTTGGAACCCGATGTATTCCAAGTATATTAACATGTTGGAGGG